TAAAAAAAAAAAAAAAAAAAAAAAAAAGAGGACCCAGAGGGACAGCTTTCCATCTTCAGCTCCCTCTGTGCAAAAATGAAGTTTATTTCCTACCTATGGGTACTTTTTACCACCTTGTACCATCTATACTTTTCCCAGGGCCTGACAAAGGGACTGTGATCCCGAAAGCTTGCAGAAAAGGACATTTTTCTTGCAATTTCCCAGTTGGTCTAATAAAAGATACAATTTTGGAACTAAGAGTTCTAGTTTTTTTGTATGTCTTGTCTCTCGGATCAACATGGCTACCAAGGACATTACTGCTTCTCATTTGATTTTGGCTTGTGTATACCCTCAGCTGCTTTAAGGTCACCTAAACCAGATACTAGTTCTTTATTTTAAGTATTGGGAGTTTCCCTTTTTAAAGCTAAAGGGTTTTTCAGTAGTGTCTTCAGCTTTCCCATAACATGATTTGAAACATCATGTTGGAAGATGCATCGGTAGGGTGACTGAGATATCATAGAATCATAGAAAATTTGGGTTGGAACATCATCTCAGTTAAATACAAGGATCAAAGAGGGGTGGTATAAAAATTGTATGGCACTGTCATGAATTGGAGATGCTCTTCTTTAAAAGCTTGATTTGATTACAGGTTACAGGGACAATCTCAGATTTTGTGTGTGTGTATAAAGAAAGGCAGCAATTTTAGGGAAAGAAAATATTCAGTAGCCTGAATTATGGAGACTGTGTACCTATAACAGATATGTCCACAATGATCCTCACAACTTGATCTAGAGTTTCCAGCTTCTCTACATCCTTTATTTTTAGAAGCATATCATAGTTTTGTGAAGCTTGGTGAATGCACTGCTGCTGCCCAGGTGCACAACTGCTAAACTATGCCTCTGAATTTGACTTTGAGAAGGAAGATACTATTAACCCCCTTCCCCCAGCTCCTCATTCTTGCACATGTATATAGCTTGAGTCTTGAGAATGTCCATGCATGCTTTCCGGCCACTTTTGTAGAGGCAAGAGTTTCTCAGCAGGTCAGTTTAACCATCTGAACTTACACTTCTCTGCATTGAACTGTTGACCCTCCCCAGTTCTTCCATTGCTAATTCCTAATAGATTCTGTAAAAGCTGTGAGAGGGCTTGCTAGGGCTGATTATATATTTTCGTGCACAGAAAAGATTAATTTGGGCATAATGATGCCTGCCACAGCAGTAACTGTCTAGTAGAAAATTGTTTGGAAAGTGTATTGGCCGTGTACAGTTATCACTTTTTAAAGCTTCTCAGCCCTCAGTGTTTAATTTGAACATCTGGAAAGAACTAGGACTACAGATTTTTTTATAAAATATAAATGAAGCTGATCCTCATCTTGTATACAGTTATTTGACATAAGTGGAGTTCTGCTTGTGGTAAGAAGTGCATTGTACTAGTTTGAATGACTAAAATTTTAAAATAATTGTTCGAAAGCTAAAAGGTATGTTTGATTTTCATTTCTATGCAAGTTTTTATGGTAAGTCATGAACAAATTGGAATTAGATTGAAAATGCTGCTCTGCTATTCCCATAAGCTCTGTAAAACTACCTCTGCTCAAAATGGTGCTCTGTCTGTCATTTTGGCTGTAATGGAGTGACTTTGTGAGAATCAGGACCAACTTTTCTTCTTATCTTAGGACTTGTAGAATGACCTATTTGTTCAGCCTGTTTTTAATTATCTGCATTGAACTCATAGCTTCAAAATGTGCTAAGGCACTGAAGAACACTTCATATAAGACATCTAGAAGAAAGCGCACGCTGTCCACAATATATCAGCTAAAGAAACTCTGCTTAATTAAAACCAGATAATAACATTATAACAACTGGCTTGTTTGCACTTACCTATATTTCTTTCACAAGCATTTTCCTTGCTTTTTAGATTACCAGAGACTGATGACTGTGGCAGAGACCATCACAGCACTAATGTTCCCATTCCAGTGGCAGCATGTATATGTTCCCATTCTTCCAGCCTCCCTTCTTCATTTCCTAGATGCCCCTGTCCCTTATTTGATGGGCTTGCACTCCAATGGACTGGATGACAGGTCTAAGCTGGAACTGCCTCAAGAGGTGAGTGCTGTTTGGCTGGATTGATAAATATTTTTACTTTCATACTAAGAAGCAAGAGGCTAAGTGAATGAATAATAAAATGTAATAAGTCCTTTGAAGTGGTAACTTGCCTTGGGAGGCTTTCCTGGTTCCTTTGGCATGTGATAAATTTTATTGGGCATGGATGACCCAATTCAGTTGCACACAACTTGCTTTGAGAAGTGATAAAGCTTGTGGATGTGATAAAGCTAAACTTTTGAATCTCTCAGTTGTCTTTAGTTCTGTAAAACTACTGTGAGGAAAAAAAATATCTTGTTTGCATAGGAAAGCCAGCATTAATTTGTAGCTAATAGATGGTAACTGTGTAATGATGATTTGCATTGTGGCAGTACCTAGGAGCTGGGACAAGGAACTCGGTTCTGATTGTTCATCTGTCAATCTCTTGGAGGGGTGGGACTTCTGGGGTCCCTTGGCCAATCAGGGGGTGGGGAGGGGAGCACTGCACTGCTGCAAAAATCCTTCTCCCTCTCTCCACTGCTATATTCGTGCCCTTTCATGGTCCCTGGGGAAAATCTATCCTTAACACCATTTGAACGTGAAATGGGAAAATACTGGAAAATGATCTGGCTAGGCTGATGCCCATAGCCTCCTGACTGTCTTCATTGTTTTAGTTGCCTCTTAAAATTAGCAGGAATTTGGCAGAGGTACTTCTGAAAGAGTTTGACATAGGAAGCCTTTTTAGAAAGCTTTCTGAGATATAGGAATGGACATTATCTGTGAACTTCTAGTTTAGTTACTGTGCCAACTATTTGCTATTTCTATTCAAATATCTGTATGACAGTTAATGTTGTTCATTTTTTCCCCCTCAGCACTGAAAAGTAAGACTTCTGTCCCTGAAAACTGTCATTTTAAAACATGCCTAGTGGATTGTTTTTTACTGCTGATGAACCTAAAGTGTACCTTGATCCATATTTTTGTTTATCTTTCTTTATGTACCAGCATCCTTAATAACACCAGGAAGAACATGCACACCTCTGAAAACAGTTATTTTAGTTTACTTTTGCTAGCAAATGCCACTCTCGTGGCATTAGTCCAATTAATATAGTTAATATTGATTTAAAAAAAAAAAGTTTCATAGGCTGCTCGCAGACACAAAAAACCCCTCAAACTTCCCCCTCCCCCTCAACACACACACTTTACCGGAAGAAGCAGCACGTTACTTCAGCCTGGCTCCTCAATGTCTGTATTGATCACACACTTCAGAGGGTCTTTTTGGCACTTTTATCTAATAGCTGATTGTATTGGCCATTAGATAAAAGTGCCAAAAAAGCCCCACTAAAGCACCTGATCTCTACAGATGGTGGGTGAGCCAGGTCCAACTAACATGTTGCCTCTTCTGGGCACATGCTGGGCTCAGTGCGGGAGCACCCTGAGTTTAAAGTAAAGCACCATTGTTTTGTTTTTTTAATGTCTGCAAGCAGCCATAGTGGCCAGCTGATGATCTGATGCTTTTTGTTAAATAACAGCAGCAGAAGCCTGTTCTAAATCCACCAATCCATATATCAGGTGAACCATATAGTTTTGTAATGTTACAAGTTGAAATGCTGTTTGCAGGCATGAAAAATGGAGTTAATTTAAGTAAAATGGTAAAGCAATGTTCAGAATCAGTCTATCATATTTTACCTTTGTTGATTTACCACACTGGTAATGCTAATAAGGTGACAATTACATATGGTCTTTGTGTTCAAAAACATTTTTTTTAGAAATGCAGAGAAGACCCAGTTAGTCACAAAGTACTGCATGTTTTCTTGCCTCTTTCTATTCTTTAGTATTAAGAAAGTTTGTGGATATCTGATATTTTTAAAATTTAGGGTTGCCTGAGAATTTAGCTGCCTGTAAGGATTGTATTTTAACTGCTGTGTCTGTGATCAGAATTCCCTTCTTTGCTAGAAGTTCATTTCTCTCTCTCCCCCAGCAGAAATGAAGGAAGCCAATGGTATAGATATATTGAGGCTAATAATCTGCCTTTTTCTATCTTTTGCTGATTCTTACCTTGACAGTCCATATTCCCAACTGTCCTTATTTTGTTCTCTAGCCTGTCTGAATGCTGTGAGATCTTCTGAACTGACCTAAGAAGCTAGTAGGCTTCAAGTGGTTTTGTAGCCATAATGGGCCAGGAAATATGAGAGGCAAGGGTTATTTTTTTTCTGGTGTCTTTTTATTGGACCAACTGTGTAGTTGGCAAAGACATTAGACAAGTTTTTAGGTACAAAGTGCAATCTGAGATTTTTGTCTCCCAAATCTTGTCCAGCATTTCTCTCAATTATGCGGTGGGTCCAATAAAAGATGCCACAAAAGAAATGCTTGCCTCTTGGAATGTAGGAACTGAAGAAAAGTGGCTTGCAGAGCTCAGTGACGTGCTTCTATTTTCCCTCCTGTTCATTACTGTTGGAAGCCATATAAAAAATGCCTTGGTCCTTTTAGTACTTTATGCTGTTGGTGTGCAACAGAGTGGGAATGAAGCTCATGCATTTGAATGAATTTAAGCATTTGTTAAGAAAAAGGTATAGAGCAGGGGTGGGCAAAATATGGCCCATGGGCTGAATCCAGCCCACCAAGGGATTTTATCCAGCCTGCAGCAGGTTTTTCTGATGTTTTTTGGGGATGCAGTGGGCCTGGGGTAGTGTGGTGGCTGGACTGTTTCCTGGCAGCCCTGGTGGCATAGCTGCTTCTGGCTGCTGCCGCCAGTGTCACTGCTACTGCCAGCCCCAGTGTCCAAGCACCTTGGTCCATCAGCCTCATACCCACTGCCAGAAGCACTGGACAGAGCGGATGGGTGTGGTCTTCATGGAGACCAGCCCGAAACACCAGTAAATAGGGTGCACTCGGCTGGGTGGACGGGATGGAGCTGCAGCTGGGCAGGAAGCAGCTTCTGGGAGCGGGACAGGCTGGTGGTGCCAGGGCTGGGACTTGGATTGCAGGGCAGTGACAGCATGGTGCTGGGGCTTGGGGCAGAGCCAGAATCTGCTTCCTGCCCATGGAAATGGCACTCATCACAGGGAGCGGTCTGTATTTGGCAGGATTTGGTTCAGGGCATGATTAGTGGCTATGTTAAAGGCTTCTGAAGAAACCAGTGAAAGAAAGGGGAGGAGCTGTACAGTAAAAAGCTCTTCTAGGAGTTGAGAAGGAAAGAAAGAGAATGCAGCTGCTCCTAACATTACTGCTTACGTACGGTTTCTGTATCAGTAATGCATATCAAAGTGGTGGTTACATGAGCTGTCTTAAAACTCCCCACTCCAGCAAGCAATGAAATATAACTGTTTTTGATGAGTCTTTTAATAACTGTTAAAGTAGCTTGTCTATTTAAGTAAGTCATGATAATATTGCAACAATTTATCTGGGGCATCTCATGATCTAGAATCTGTTTGTTTCATTTCTTTCTGTGAGGTGAAAGAGTTGGAACATGTTGGGAAGTTAAAACAGCAGCAATTACTTAGAAATTAATGTGAAAATAAACATTTCCTGTTGAATAACCGATCAGGGGGTCAGAATAAAAGTGTTTTGCTGAGCAGCTAGTTTTGAATGAAATGTTCCCCATGATCTTGGGCAAAAATCAGTGCCAAAAATATATCACTCTGTACATTTGAAAATTAGGTGGTTTTGTCCTAGATCACAATTTTTCCTTCTAACATGTCTCTTCAGTATTCTTATTCCAACATCTGCAAAGATTATACTTCATAAATGGTCAGTGGTGGTGATCCCTCACGGTCGAGGATGGTTACTCCCATGGGCCAAGTAAAGGACTGTAGATGAGTCCATTGATGGCTAAAAAGGCCGGTCCTAGAGCTTCAGACTTTCTGGCAGATGCCACAGGTACTAGTTAAAGGGAGTATTGTTACCTTTCTTTCCATTTTTGTCATTTTTCTGCCTCCAGGATGAGCTGGTTTTCCTCAAAGTAAGATTATACCTTCTGTCACAAGGTGTCACTATGTAGCTCTGTCCCAAGCTAGTTTTTCCCAGTTTGTGATGTCAGTGTCACACTTCTTAATGTTTGCCTTGAGGGTTCGAAGCATTTTCTCTGGCCCCCACATGTCCTTTATCCTTGGCTGAGTTGGGAGTATAACAGTTGTTTTGGTCAATATACATCAGGCATATATGCACAATGCCCTGTCCGCTGCAGCTGATGTTGAACGATCAAAACTTCCATACTGATGGTATTGGCATGGGTGTGGACACTGGCACTTATGTAATGATCCTCCCACTTTATGCCAAGGATCTTCTGGAGGTAGTGCTGGTGAAGGTGTTCCAGTCTTTTCAGGTGGTCCCTGTAGGTTACCCAAGCTTCACAGCCATAGAGAACAGTTGGGGTTGCCACAGCCTTGTATAGTAGGAGCTTTGTTTGAATCCTGATGTTGTGATTTTCAACACACAATGATTCAGTCTTCTGAAGGCACAGCTGGCACATCGGATCCTATACTGGATTTCCTCATTGATGTGGGCCTTCTTTAAGAGATGGCTGCTAAGGTGTTCAGCATCCTCCATTTCTTTTCCATCAATGAGGATCTTTGCTGGGAGAGTTGATTGGCCTGGAGCAGGCTTGTGAAGCACCTTTGGTTTTTCTGATGTTAAAGGTTACTTCCAGGCAATGGTGTGCTTGAAAGAAGCAGTTGAGAGTGCTCTGTAGGTCCACCTCGGTATGTGCAGCAATAGCACAATCATCAGTGTACTGAAGTTCTACAATCGAGGCCGGTGTAACTTCAGTTTTGACATGGAGGTGGGAGAGACTGAAAAGGTTTCCATCCATTCTGTACTCAATGCTGATGCTATTTGGCAGATGGTCGTGGATGAGCAAGAAAGATGGAAAACTGAACTGGTGCGATTATGCGGTCCTGCTTGATAAATGGCAAAGGGCTCTGTAGTGGAACCACTGTATATGATGAAGGCAGTCATCTATGATAACGGCCATATGCAGTTCCTAGTGTTGATCTCAACATGTTTCCTGGATCTGCTGGGCTGCAGAA